AACACACTGACCTGGAGGTCTACGCCATCCGACGAATGGCATCAAACTTGGAGGAACCTGGACGGAGTCGAGCACTCCATATCATCAACCAAGCCCTCAAGTACCGCAACCTCAGTCCACCCAAGCCAAACATCCCCCTCACCATACCTTTCCTAGCTCACGATCAGTTTCCCAGACACTGCGAGCAATGGCTCAAAACCACAATCCAGCAACACAAACACCTGGCTATCCCGCTCCACCTCCCTACTCACCGTCTGCGGGAAGCGGCCCACAAGACTCTCCGGGCCCATTTGCACAATCACCGCACCTGGGAAGACACCCTGCACAACCCTCCGGCCTCCACTGACTTGCCATGCGCTTGCGATCACCTGCAAACCATTCTACTTGATCCCACTACACCCACAATCGACAACCATTACATCCTCACTCTTGAACAACTTGCACTACCACAACACCTCCGCATCTTCTTGGCAGTCAATATGAACAGCACTTTTTACCCCAGCAAAGCCAGATATTTCCTCACCTTCCAAACAGCTTTCACCAAATGGCTGCGTATTCAAGGCCTACCACCCTCACTCACACAACACTTGGAGCCTTTCCCCCAGCACCAATGGAAGCTCCACACTGACCATTTGAAACAACAACCCCGCTTCACAGCCCGCCTTCTCCGGCAACTCCAGTCATTTCTGGGCGACCAAGTCGTCCTCCACCATGCTGACCACGAACTACAACAGCTACGCATTTTCTGTCCACGCCAATACTTCGCCGGGGCGCTCGCCACTTGGCAGTGACCAGAACTCTTTGCACCTATGCAAACACTCCAACCGTCCAACATCCACGAATACCTGACACATACCATCCCCCCCCAGCCTTCACACACGTTACAAATGGGGCTTCAAGAAAGATTTTACGATCCCATACGGCATCGTCCACCTCAAGGAGAAGAAACAGTGGAGGAAAGGCCGCACCATCATCTCGTACTTTCCAAATCCGGGGGGCTGGGATTGGCTCCCAGCTCTCCCCTGCCCTTTGCAACGTTGCCATCACCCTCATTGAGCATTCCTGGCACCAACTCCACAACAATCTCCTTCAACACACTGCCCTCCACTTCACTTACTACCGCTATGTCGACAACCGTTTCTTCGTCCACAATGAACACTTTCTGTCACATCCCGCCATCCAGACCCTCATCCACAACAACTTTTTCGGCGATCCCGTCGAATTGGAGACGGTGGAAGACTTCCACCTCCTCGGTTTCAACATTGACCTCCAGCAACGTACCATCACCTACATACAACCCACCCAACCCTGGAAAATCAGGGACCACACCAGCGCCGGTAGCCAGCGCTTGGCTCTGTCCGGCTTAGCTTCAAGACTTCACTCCATCTACACCTACACTTTTCCACCTCACAATGCCACCGCTGCGGCTGAAGCCTTGGTCAACCTCTACGCCCAAAAAGGGCATAACCTGCAAGCGTGCAGGCGGTTTTTGAAGAAAAAGACCCGCGTTTTCCACCGCTCGCTTTGTGCGCCGAATACGGCGTGTTGTGTGTGTGTCACACCCTGGTTCCAAGGGTTTCCACCTATTTTACTTTTCCACCACCACCCAGATTTTTATCCAAGGCAGGGGGCCAGCACGACGCTGGCCAACGAAGCTAGTGATGTCATGGGATGCGGTCAGAGACGTCTGACCGTGTACCTGCTAAGAAACTGTTGCTCACGCTGTCCAGTTTTCCTGTTTTGATTCCATGGTGGTTCATGATACCTCCCACAAACCTTTTTCCTTCCGCATTGCAGCTGCTGACCATCACGTTCTTTTGAGCGCTTTCGGAAACATTTTTTAAACAATACTGTTGCGCCGACTCACTCGCCTTGCCGTTCCCTCACCTTCCTTCCCAACGTGGCAATTGAGTCTAACTGAAAACCCAAGTTCGAAGTTCGAAGTGTGTGTGTCTTGAGTCCTAAAAGCCTGAAGAATCAGTTTCTTGAGCGACTTCTCTGCTTCGCTTCCCTGCTCCGCTGCCTCGGACTCGATGCGATCTTGTGAGGATAGGCTTTCCAGCGGAAGACCACGCAAAATCACCTCAGCGATGCTGGCGGAAGTCCTCCACCCTAGTAGCGACGGCGTCCACCGTACTAGCGATCGTGCACTAAAGCCTTAATCCACACCGCTGAAGCGGAGGTAGCGACACGGCATTACTACTAGGAGCAATGGGGCTCCTGGCCTTACTACTAGGAACAAGAAGCTACTAGTAACAAGTGCATCGCTTCTAGTAACAAGTGCCTTACTAGTAGCAACAAGAAGCTACTAGGAGCAATGTTTGCTACGGAGAATGAGAACTAAACTCCACACCGCTCCAAGGCACAGCTGGCGGCCCGCTGGGATCCTTCAGACTCTCCAAAGCACTCCGCAGCTCCAACGGCCTCAGCAACTAAATGACTCGGTGGAAGCTGAAACCTAATAGCATCCTTGCTACTAGTAGCGATGCCCTTGCTGCTAATAGCGACTTCAGTGGCTGAAGAAAGCGTAAAGCTTACAGAAAATTTTGGCTGACTTGTGGCTGGCCTTCTCGCCTCCGTCACCTGCTCTCGATAACTTGTCATTTGCTCCTCTCGTTTGCTATCAAATGCCTCCCACCACGGTTTACACAAAAACTATGATCACTACGCCAATCCACTGGAGTCCATCTACATACTCAAAGTGGTTCTGCGCAACCCTGCTCAGCCTTGCCTCACTGCAGCTGTCTAGGAGTTTATTCCGGCAACTCCTTCTGTAAAATCGTTCTGAAACCGTTACATGTCACCAGTAGGTCTAATGTTCAAAGAGATGCATTGGTCACACCGATCGACCTTTCAAGGCGATCTGGACTAAAACCAAACAAGCGATGGCCCCCAATCTAAGAGCGTCCTTGTTACTAGTAGTAAAGCCCTATAGCAACTGGTAACGTTCTTGCTACTAGTAGCAATGCCCTTGCTACTAATAGCGACTAAACCCAAACAACACTTTATTTGTTCTCAAACAAACCGATTTGGGACGACCGTCCCGTCCCATCTTGACACAATCAGTACCAAGCAGCTGGAAGGGAAAGACCCGCATAGCCTCCTGGGGAAGCGAGAAACCCAGAGGCCTTCCTGCTTGAGGCCTTGAAGGCAGGTGCTTAAAGTTCTCAAATGGAAGTACGTAAGCAAAGTCCACACTTTTGGAACCACCAATCATTTAACCTTTCGTGCAACAACCCTGTACACGAAGGTCTAAAATGGAGGAAGGTCACGGGGACGTTAATTTTGTGTCCACTAGCGAGCAATTCTGATCAACATACCCTTCTTTGCCAAGTTGCTAGCCACAACACTGCTATTCTAATTAACATCCACCCATGCGAGTTGCCCAAGATACAATCCCAAATGATGCCACTTTGAGGGCTTAGGATTTCCTCGACGCTGCAAGCACATTTTCTTCCGCGGCTGACGCATCACGCGACCATCTCACCCTGGCGTGTCCTGGAGGAAGCCTTCGAATCTGATGCAGCTACACAGGTTTCAAGCTCAGGCTCTCGTTGCTGCACGACACACAGAAGTCAGAAGTGCGTGTGAACGCCAATCTCGTGACATAATGAGAGCGCCAGGAGCTTGAGACGACTGTCAAACTGTCTGTTTCATCTTGCAAATGGACCGACAAAGGTTTTCATGTTGACTCTTTCATTGTCTGCAATGGCCGCCAGCTCCCTGAGCAGGCGCGGTGTCCTTGCCAAGGTGCCAAATAGAGAAAGCGTACGAAGGGCATGGTAGAGGCTCAAGCTGGATTCAACTTGGAGATGAATTTATTTTTGCCCGCTCACCCCCTCCCTACTTACTTAATTAAGTAGGCGCCTACTTAATTAAGGGAGAGGTAGCTACTACCGGCAAGTAGCTACTACTTAGGACGCAGGATAGTTTCCGCTAATAATTTGGTTCCTAGATTTTTGGGGAAATTTGAGGCGTGGAGGCCATCGCTACTAGTAGTAAGGCACCTTGCTACTAGCATCGATGCTCTTGTTACCAATTGCACACATGCCAAGTTGGAGCACGAGATGTATCCCTCACACTACTTCTTGGCCAGCTCCACCAGCTACCATAGGGGTGAACACAAGTTTTTGTTCATTCTAATTAATTCTATTCTAATTCTTGTTTCTAATAGCTTCTTGTTCCTAGTAATAAGGCCCTTGTTCCTAGTAGTAAGGCCAGGAGCCCCTAGTAGCGTCCTTGTTCCTAGGAGGGGAAGGAGTCATCGTCATCGTCCATGTTCAACTCCCTGCGGAGAAGTCTTGAACGACGGCCGCAACTTGGTTTGGTTCGGCTTGGTGGCATCTGCCCAGGCACCAAAACAAACAACAAGGGGTACTTGTTACTGCTAGAACCTTCAGCATATTCCTCAAGTAGCTAGAAGCTATTCGTAACAAGGTGCATCGCTACTAGTCACAAGGGCATTACTACTAGTAGCAAGCTACTAGTATATAACAAGGTGCGTCGTTACTGGTAGCAAGGAGCTACTCCTAGCGATGCCCTTGTTGCTAGTAGCGATGTACTTGTTACAGCTAGAACCTTTCAGCATATTTCACAGATAAGCCTAGTTGCCAATTCGTGCTCACGCTGCCTTACTCCTATGAAGCAGGCAGAGGAGTTTGAGGGGGCTTTGGAGACTCTCTTTATCTTTTGTGGAGGGCCAGGGACACAAGGGATGCAAGGGACGCCCTCAGCCTTTTCATCTGTCCTTCCAGTCGTGGCTCATCATCTTCTTGGAGACATCCAATCAAGATGACAGAATGTGGAACCACTCCTCATCAGGGCTTCGTGATCAATATGCCCTTCATGGAAAACCGCATTTCCGTTAACGCAAGCCCCAACCAGCCACCCTAAAGTTAACACATATGAAGTTCGTTTGTCTCAAACGTCGCAATCCTTTTACTTCGCGTTGCCTGCAGCATTTGGGCGCACGTTGGCATCGGGAGTCTAGCGAACTATCGCGTCCAGTCGGCCTGAACTAACAGGCCTCTTGACTGCTGGGTCTCCCGAAGTTGGGGTGTTGAGGAAGTAGCCCCTGTGACGTCATGAGTTTCGAGTTCGAGGGAACAATAAACTTCGTCACAGAAGCAGGGACCTTATCAACATGGAAGTTCAACTCACCCCTGTTACATGCATCCATGTTTAAACACTCACATCGAGGGAAACAAAGAGTGAGCCAGTCTTTGTGGGTGGGTGGGGAGACTTCAAGAACCATTGGGCGCAACCTAATACGCCTTGGGGGGGGTCTCTTGAGAGGACATGTTATCCAAGCAAAGCATAAACTCAAGAATCCTCCCTAACGCGTTCACTCCCTGCAGCTTTCACTGCGCAAACAAGTTTGTTTCACGAAAACTGCATTCCCGTTTCAACGCAAACCCCAACCAGCCACCCTTAAGTTAAAACATATGAAGTTCATTTGTCTCAAACATCGCAATCCGTTTACTTCTTGTTGCCTGCAGCGTTTGGGCGCATGTTGGCATCGGGAGTCTAGCGAACTATCGCGTCCAGTCGGCCCGAACTAACAGGCCTCTTGACACGCAAGTTCAACTCACCCCTTTTCATGGCCAAAGCTGCGGCTCACGTTCTAGTCAGCGATGTCAGGTCTTGCCCAATCTGGTAGCTTCTCCTTGCATCTCTCGCAAGGTGTGGTCTGCATGTTTTGGCGCAGATCTGATGGTTCCATCACGGCTTTTGCGATGCGTCCTGCAGCAATCCAAGGCCAACCACGCGCAGTCACCCACTGACTCATTTGGGTGGTTGCGAAAGGAATGCCTGACTTGGAATGGAGCTTTCCGGTCGTCAGATTCACCACTATCTCATGGCTCCATTGGTTGAACATCTTCAGAATGGCCGACCGATCCAAGGGTAAATTGCATTTCTCAGCAAGTTCCTCGTATTCGAATTTGAGCTGGTCATAGGCTTTGGTCACGTCATTGGCCCTCGCGGACAGGGCAGCGATCTGGTCTCTCATCTCCAGGACCTGCAAGTTGCCATCCGGTGACTCTTCATAGGCCTCCTCAACATACGCCAGCAATGCCGACGAAGAATGCCAACGGCAAATTGGGGCGTTCTTCCAGGCCAGTTCTTTCACACCGGACCTCCTGAAGGTGTGACTTCTGACGTGAGCAGATTGCGCGCCTCCAGTATAGGGAGTGGCTCAACCGACTTGCATCGTGTTTGAAGGCCTCTACCATGGCCGTCTTTTCGACCGCACTGTTGCCTCAGTGGTAGTAGAGGATAGTGCCAACAACCGATGTCCTTGTCTCTGGACCAAGTGCACGGTCACGCAGTAGGGGCATGTCAGCTTCTCCTCCGGGTTCGCCTGGCAGATACAGCCAAGGGTCCTCCTCGCCCTGCGACCTGTGGGGTCGTTGTTGGTCACCGGCAGTTTGAGTGTGACCTGGAGCAATCTGGAGTTCACCTCATCTCCTTCATGAAGATGCAAACAAGTTCTTGCTCACGAAGAATAAGCTGGTCGCGAACACCACACCTCGTACCTATCACTTGGCCATGACGGGCTTCCTGCGTCCCTGGGTCCCTTCTCGCAAAGGAAGGCCAACCACCTCCAGGGCACTTCAGGCGCCCTGCGCCGTCGCGCAGTGCCACGCACAGCACATCCGACACACATGCACCTGATGGCCGTGAGTGGGACTGGTTCATATCCCAATGACTGGCACAGCTTCGTCCATGTCTGGCGGAGGGCAGTCTTGGAGTTGACCGTTTGCTGAGCGTAAACTGCATCCATGTACTCACTCTGAGCCTTGTCTCTCAGTTCAGAAGATTGTGTGAATTGCAAGGCGGCGACCAACGAACCCTTCATTCTCTTGTTGCTCGATTCCGGGGGTACTAGGGCACGGGGTCCCGCGGCAAGGTGCTGGCGGAGCGGTCAAACCACTTCCACTTGCTGGGCCCTCTCCTTCTGAGAGGAACTCCCATGACTCACCGAGAACATCCCACGCGACAGAACTATCTGCCCTCGTGGGTCAGCTGCTGCTAGAGCCATTTGCTCGGCTCGCGACCACTGTATCTAGACGATTTCGCTCACCAATTGAGCTACCGTCCAGTGAGGCAACCCCTCACTCGTGGTCTCTGTCGTGGTGAACTACCACCACGTCTTCCTCTGCCCAGCCAAGTGCCCTCCTGCCGGCCATCACGCTGGAGGAAGTTGGGCTTCATCTGCCCTGACATGTTCTGGAACACGTCGCATGAACCTAGCTGTCGACACCACCCTTGAATCCCTTCAGCTGCGCTCAACTTTTCTCGCGACGGTCTGACAGGTGAACGTGTCACGCGTGTGGCCAAGCTCGAAACAGCGATGCTAGTTGTGGCATGCTCATCCGTTCTGCGTCCTTCAACCCTAGCCTGCTGGAATCTTGACACCCTCGCTCATGAAAGCGGATCATGCAGCCCAAAGGCCCAAAGGTTCAGGACTCCTCTCAGGCGCCGACTGCATCGATCTCGAGCGACTCCAATTGGAGGGCGATCTCCCCTGCCAGCTGTGCCATCAGAGGCGACTTCCCCCGCACCGTCATGACAGTGCGCAAAGCCGAAGTGCTATCACTACGTATGTAAAATTGAGTGCGCTGTTCGTTTAAAATTTTGGAAAACAGTTTGATGGAGATGAAAATGGCTAACAAGTCAAATCCTGATTGGTATAGGTCGTTCAAACGCGCTTGTCCGCCCAGCTCTCTACAGCCCTGGTCTGTCAGGGTATGTCCAATGTAGAGTGTAAGTCTGTTGCCTACGAACAAGACACTTCCTAGACCTGTGGGGGATGCATCGGTTTCGATTCGAATCACTGTGGGGTTGCGGTTCCATCTAAAGGTGCGAACTAACGGAGGCGCCGCGGACGAACTATAGGGAGGCAGGCTTTGACTTGAAGTAGCCGCTTCAGCCACTTGGTCGGGTGGGGCACCTGACGAGCGAACGTCAGAACCTTCCTTTGTCGTGTCTCCGCCCGCTGCCATCCGATCTTTGGACATGGGAAACCCAGGACAACACCCCACACGACTGCTCCAATCATCTGGTGGCTACCATGCTCTTTCAAGTCTCAACACTTCGTGG